TCCAGTGATTATGTCTAGATCACTGATAACCCTCTTGTTACCTGCCTGTTTTCAGCTCTCATTGTACTCCTATTCTAGTCACAGGGAAATATAATAATGTGGGGAAGCTTCCATATGGAAGTTACATAGCTATTGGTGCAAGGATGGTTATGTGAAATGAACAAAACACGAGCTGTCTTCTGGGTGTTTTAGAACTGCACCCAACAGGGAAAGAGATCCTCTCTAGTCTTGAGACCATAAAGACGTGGAAAAATTGTTGTAGGAGAATCATACCAAGCAAAAATAGAGATGGAAGGAAATAATCCAGTTATTTTTTGGAAAATGGACATTGTACCTCATCTCTAATTTAGAATCTCTTTTCTGGTAACTTGATGATTTGTAATTGAGACAGAACTTCAAGTGAGACTGTTGGGAACTTAAATTGGAGGGTCAAATGAAGGGACAGAACTTTCTTTAAAAGTCTCCCTCTCTCTACCCTTTCTCTGCTTGTACTCTGTCTCTTAAAAATGAATAAATGTTAAAAAACATTTTAAAAAACCTTTTATATTAAAAGAATTAGTACTATAATCTTTCTATGCAAAGAATTTGGGTGGTCACCTAGTACAACTTAACCCATTTTTGGATGGGTAATAACTGTCATTTACTGAAATCAATACTGTTGGCACTTTACTAAGCATCTTACCTATAGTTTGCTCATTATTATGGTTAAGTATCATTTTTCCTATTTTACACATAAGGAAACTGAAGCAAGGGGTCTTAGATGACTTGCCCAAGATCACACAATAAGAATGTGAAAAGCTAGCATTTCCACTATGATACTATTGTTATTTCATCTGTGTATTTTCTTCAATAATTATCTAATTATATTTTACTATATATCAATGTAAAACCAACTACAAGGAGTATGTATACTAATTGGTGGGTCAAAGCAGCCTAACAGCAGTCTGGGTAACAAAAATTAACTAACTTGGCAATATAGATTTCCTTTTGCAAATGAATGTAAAGATAATAGTGCATGTATTAATAATTTAAACCATAATGTTTGCCAAATTAGCTATTAAGCATTGTATCTATAGTTTTATGCATTTCAAGTAGAACTACAAAAAGGAAAGTAAAAATGTGTTCTCTATAGTATACCAAATTAACCCATAATACAGTCTTTGACTTACAAATACTTAAATTTAAGTGCTCTATAGAATTAGAAATTGCTTGGAAAATGGGTGATCTCTACTTAGAGGAATGTGGTCTCTTATATGTTCAGATTTTCCAGCAGGCACTATTAATTCATTTCCTCTTTAACTCCGATTCTGCTGCCAACTCCCTGCCTCTCTGCAAAGCTGCCCTATTGTCATGGGTGTTGGGACATCTCTGCTTTCTCTGACAAACTGGGAGGCAACTGAATTCCTGAGATCATAATTTAGAACTCAGAATATTAATAAATTCCCCCTCCCACATATACAAAGACACACACATGTATATTTTCATTTATTTACAAATGGTAGCAACATATAGTTGTTAGATTGCAATTTAAATATTAAATTGCCTGGGAATAGAATGACCATTTAAAAAAATTTTTTTTAATGTTTTATTTATTTCTGAGCGAGAGAGAGAGACCGTGTGAGCAGAGGAGGGTCAAAGAGAGAGGGAGACACAGAGCTATCAGCACAGAGCCTGACATGGGGATCAAACACACGAACCATGAGATCATGACCTGAGCCAAAGTCGGACGCTTGATCAACTAAGCCACTCAGGCACCCCTAGAATGTCAGTTTTTAACATTGTTTTCATATAAAAGGAAAGTGCATTCTAAGTTCTGAATGGGCGTTCAAATAGCCTGTTCATTCATGGCAGACTGCCTATTTTTAATATATGAGGACCTCATTGCTTGTCAGGTGTCAAGCATGAAATATTTGGTACATTCACTAGCTTATAATCATCAAGGATTATCTATCTGAGTTTGGGGTTAATCAGGGTACTGCAGATAATTTGGGTGTTAAATACTGTGCTATAGATAATTTATGTTTTTGTATAATTGAGACTGATAGTACTACTGAAATTTTGTTAATGAATGATTGAAGACTATAAATTTTAATCTTGTAACTTGGTGGAGTGGAAAAAACTATGCTTTTGGAGTCGGATCTGAATTCAAATTCTTGCCTTACCATTTACTAACTGAATCTGTTTCCTGAACTATAAATTGGAGACAGTGATTGCAGGGTGGTGGTGAGATTTGAAATGATTTAGCAGTACCTTGTGTAAAATGCTTATTTAAGTCAAGGCACTTGACACACATTAAACACTCAAAATAACATACCATTAGATCTTTAATTCCTTGAAGTTAGTTCTTTTGTAACTTGACATGCATAAGGGTGAGCATTTCACTGAGCTACAGCATAGAATTATGTTTTAAAAGGTATAATAGTAAATAGGTGTGATAATATATGTTGATATTTTTTGGTTATGGTGAGTGTAAGATGGCTTATTTTAATTTTTCACATTTTTATTTAAAAAAGTTAAAAAAATTTTTAATGTTTATTATTGAGAGAGAGAGACAGAGTATGAGCATGGGAGGGGCAGAGAGAGAGGGAGCCACAGAATCCAAAGCAGGCTGCAGGCTCTGAGTTGTTAGCACAGAGCCCAACATGGGGCTCGAACCCATGAACTGCGAGATCATTTCCTGAGCTGATATTGGACCCTTAACTGACTGAGCCACCCTGGAGCCCCTAATTTTTCACATTTTAATAATGCTCATAAAATCATTAAGTACTTATCTATTAAGGAAAACTCAAATAGCAAATAAAAACAGTGAATAAAATAATGTGCTGTTTATTCTTCAAATTATTATTTTGTATAGTAATATTTGCTTTAGTAGGAAGTCTTATTTTATGGAGATATTGGCTCAGTTTTTATTTCCTCTTATGAGATAGTAAACTTTTGAAATGCGTATTTGCTCCTGAAATTCAGTATTACATTTGGCCACAGTTTATCAGTGGCCAATACTGACCTTCAAAGCTATTTCAATGAAAGTGAAATAGAAACCTTAGAATGTAAATTAATTTGATAATCGTTCTTACATGAACCTGATGGTAGAAGTATGAGAGTTTAGCTGCTCTAACATGTTTATAGTCCAGCTTCAGGTTAACAAACTAAGCACAATTAAACAAAACTAACGTTCCTGGCCTTGAGCACTGAAAATGGTTTTTGAGAAAGTTTGTTTCAGTTAACAAATACTTCATTTAAGCAATGATATTTGGCTAGGTCATAGTAAATACAGATGCCTAGAGAAAATTTGTTGTTGAGTATCATATACTTAAAATGTCTGGCCAGCTTTGTGGAAGGTATAGCTAGGGGGTTATTTACTCTTCCCTGGCTCTTACTCTCCCTTGATAATCCTTCTTCTCACTGCTTTCTCCTTATCTCTTTTCCTCACCCCCCCCTTTTCCTCCTTCCCTCCTTTTTCCTTCCCTGTTCCTTTTCCTGTTTCCTTTCCTCTAGTAGTCTCTAATGAGATTTTTTTTTAAACTAAGCAACATTTCAGATGTATTAAAAAGTACAGTAAATCATATGTCCAGCCATATCCACCACTGAAGTTAAGCAGATGTTAAGAAAAAAAGTTTTTTAGTGTTTATTTTCGAGAAAAGACACAGAGAGCAAGTGGGGGAGGAGCAGATAGAGACAGGGAGACACAGAATCTGGAGCAAGCTCCAGGTGGGGCTTGAGCCCACAAATTGTGAGATCATGATCTGAGTCAAAGTTGGACACTTTACTGAGCCACCTAGGTGTCCCAAGGAGATGTCAACTTTTTTGCAGTCTTTAGTTCAGCTCCTATATATATATATATATATATTTTTTTTTTTTTTAATATTTTATTTATTTCTAGGAGAGAGAGAGATAGCGTGAGCAGGGGAGGGTCAGAGAGAGAGGGAGTCACCGACTGAAACAGGCTCCAGGCTCTGAGCTGGCAGTCAGCACAGAGCCCGACGCGGGGCTCAAACCCACGAACCGCGAGATCATGACCTAAGCGAAAGTCGGACGCTTAACCGACTAAGCCACCCAGGCGCCCCTCAGCTCCTATATATATTTTTTAAAAGGGCAGGCAGAAGAGCAGGATTCTTGACTCTTGTTTCTTGCAATATCTTTAGCATTTTGAATAATGCTAGGGTCTTAGTAGGTGTCCAACAGGTATTTGTTAAGAAGATCAACAAAGGAGAACCAATATGTATTCAGAGAAGAATAAGAAAAAATCAAGTGTCAAGGCAATAGCGCTTGAAGAAGAGTCATCCATAGTGTCAGAGACAATGAGAGTGTTTTGATAAAAATTTGGTAAAAAATTGAAAGCAGTCCATTGTCATTGGTAACCTTGGTAGTCATTGAAAGCATTAGTTTTCATCTTAGCACATATCACTAGAGAGGCAGTGTGATATAGTAGTCATTTAAGGTCCAGGTTTTGGAGACAGAATGCCTGAGTTCCACTTAGCTTTCTTTGTCACTGGGCAAGTCATGTTTCAGTTTCTTCTGTAGAGGAGAGATGAACTTAGAACATAGAGGGTTGTGAGAAGTAAATGGGTTAACTCATGTAAGAAAAAATGTACTTAGAACAATGCCCGGTACATAGTAAATGCTAAAAGAAAAATTGTTGCCTTTCAGTAATTACTATCAATTAACCCGAGCACTGTATAAGGCTCCTCAAATCATCTGTAGGTTTTATCTCAGTTTGGCAGAAAAAAAGCCACCTCTTCTACACATTAATATCTGCTGGTATGAAATCTCTTTCAAGTTCTGTAACTAAGGATGTAAATAGTCTCATTATTTGTCTTTTTTTAAAATCTCAATTCAGATAGTACTTTAAATTTTCTTTTAGTATTTTATTGGTAGGCAATAATAATGATATCAGTGAAAATTAAGCAGTGTGAATTTTTTAAAGACCAAAATGTATTTTTGATGGCATTTTATTTACATAGCTGTTTCTTTTTTCTTTCTTTCTTTCTGTTTTTACATAGCTGTTTCTTATCCTGAAAATCTGACAAACTTTGTTCAGTCGTCATGGCTTTATGAGGATCTGAAAGGATGATCATTACAGCTGCTAAGTAAATGGTTTTGCATTTTAGAATTATTCCTATTCTCAGCAGTGCTAATTAGTAATACTTTATGCATTGAATGTCAGTATGAGTAGGGAGAGCTGACAATTTTATTTTCTTCTTTGAGCTTTTTAAATGTATTCCATTCCATTCAAAATCATTGGGTATTTCTCGACATTAATGATACATTGGGAATAGAGAAATTCACAATGAAAAAATATTTAGAAGTTCTAAAATTTCCTTCTGTTGTATTTGAAAAAAGTAAGTTTGGTTATTTACTGAGGGAAAATAATGTTTTAAAATAAATAGCTGTGTTTAGTAAGCTGTATTTTAAGAACTTTTTTTTTCACTTGTATTGAATTGAATGAGCTATGCTGTAATAATTTTTTCTTCTTAGTTTGTAGCATTAGAGGAAGTTTTCTGACAGATCATTCTGTTCTATAGTAGTGTTTCTCAAACTTTTGTTCTTAAGATCCATTTTACATTGTTAAAAGTTAATTGAGGGGGACTGCAAGAAACTTAATTTTTTAGATTATGTTGATATTGACCACATTAGAAATTAAAGCTGGGAAATTTAACATAATTATTAATTCATTTAAAAATAGCAGTAATAAACCCATTACATGTTTATATAAATAACATTTTTTAAAATACAAAATAATTTTCCAAACAAAAAGTTAATGAGAAGAGTGGCATTGTTTTACATTTTTGTAAATCTCTTTAATGGCTGGCTTAATAGAAGGTGTTTGGAGTTTTATATCTACTTTTGCATTAGGTGTATTATGATTTGTTGTTTTGGTTGAAGTATATGAAGAAAATATGGCGTCACATACATATATATCTGGGAGAGGGAGAAGTAATTTTAGCTTTTTAGGTGGTTGTGGATATCCTATTTTGATACTGCATCAAAACTTGACAAATGGTAGTTTTTTAGATTATGAAATCTGAAACTGTATCAGTGAACCTTTTTACTTTATTACATTAAGATCCATGGCTTTATTGTGTACAATGAGTGGATCTTTATTCATGCATGATTTTGTAACATTAAGCTTGGGTCATTTGGAAAATATTGGTTCACTGACTTATGCAGATCTTCCACATGTTGACGTGACACATTACATTTTATAATATAACAAAGTCACTTGTTAACACCACTGATCTCATTAGAAAGGAAAAGTGTTAAGCTCATGATGATGAAAACATGTTTTATCAACTTGAAAGTTTGAATTTTATCATTGGAAACTGTCACTTTTATTTGTTTTATCAAATGTCAAATTTTCCTTTTTTTTCCTTTTTTAGTTTATGTATTTATTTTTGAGAGAGGGGCACAAGTATGCGCAAGCAGGGGAGGGACAGAGAGAGGGACAGAGAGAACCCTAAGCAGGCTCCTTGCTGTCAGCGTAGAGTGTCTGATCGCATAAACTTTGAAATCATGACCTGAGCTGCAATCAAGAGTTGGACGCCTAACCGACTGAGCCACCCAGGCACACTTGGAAACTGTCACTTTAAATGAGAGGCTTACTGGTTGCTTCAGAAGGATGGGACACTAGGTTGGCAGTGGCAGTGTGCAGGGTGTGGTCATTTCTGCTCCCTACTGGCCTATGGTGGAGAGGATGCTGGTACTCCAGCTTGCTCTGGATTGCAGTGAGGGGGGCAAATTGCACAACAGGCCAGTGACTGACCATGAGCCTCCATGTACCACTGGGGCCCTCAGGAAGAATGACCAACATGGGTTGCCTGCTTGGAGCACGCACCCCACTGTGTGCAGGAAGGCCAAGTATCTGCTGCACTCAGAAACCAGGTGGACCCCAGGTGTCTTGGTCTGCTTGGGCTGTCCTAACTGAACATCACAGCCTGTAGCGACAGCACATGCTAGGGGATTGCCTCCTGTGGGTTGCTGCATGCACGTGTCCTCCCAACAGGCTGACTATAACGGGGCCGTGCTCACATATGTGCACTGGCAAGCCTTTGCACGCCTCTGCCAGGTGCTCCTGGTCAGGCAGGACAGCTCCACCACCTACATCCCCTATCAGGAGCCATGACCAATGCTTGAGATGCTGTGGACCTAGATGCCCTGTCCGCAGAGGAGAGGGAGGCATGGTTTTGGAAACTCGACGCCCAGTTCAGAGAGAAAAAGGAGGAGGAGCTAGAGCTCTGGGATGACTTTGACCTGGAGCTGTACACAGGGTTTTGGACCAAAAAGTGACCATGCCTTAAGCTACCCTGGCAGGGGATGCTGTGGACAGAGGGAATATGTCTTTAAGTGGTGCATTCACTAAACCCCTCCCCCCAAAAAACCCAAAAAAACCCAAGAATTACTTTGTTCATTTTCAAGAAAATGTCTGCCAAATACCTGATACTAAACAACCATAGTTCTTTCAAGTAAAAACAGTATTCTGTGGGAAGTGGCTCTTTGAGCTTATAGCTCAACACATGGTTTTCCTCAAGACAATTATTGTCCTTTGTATGCACAGAAAGTGCTATGCATGCTTCAATTTCAATACAGATTATAAAAAGATGTATACTCAAAAGACAAGAACTTAGAGGCGCCTGGGTGGCTTAGTCGGTTAAGCATCCGACTTCCGCTTAGGTCATGATCTTGTGGTTCGTGGGTTCGGGCCCCGCGTCGGGCTCTGTGCTGACTGCCAGCTCAGAGCCTGGAGCCTGTTTCAGTCGGTGACTCCCTCTCTCTCTGACCCTCCCCTGCTCATGCTGTCTCTTTCTCTCTCCTAGAAATAAATAAAACATTAAAAAAAAAGACAATTTAAAAAATAAAAATTCTTAAGTTAAACTAGACTAGCTCCCCCTTTCCCCCACACCCTCATTGTGTATCATTGAAGCATACAGTGACTGATAATATAGTTTGGTGCCAGTGCCTTGATTTATTCTAAGGTGCCAGCAGTTTTATCCACCTTGGCATGCACTGTGCATGCAAATGTTAACTGTGAAAAGGCAGATATCATCTCAACGTTATGAAAATAGTTTAGGCCCTGTGGATCCCTGAAAGTATTTTTGCAGATCCCAGTGGATTTGTGTACCATACTTTATATACATTAGGTCAGTTTGTGGATATATCTTTTAGTTATTAGGGAGGATTAATTTTTACTGATAATTTTTAAAAATCTGGGTCTTCCTATTCAACTTATTGTTTTGAGGAAAATTTCATAGCTTTAAGCTAGTATGCATTTTAATGGAATCTGGGTAGTAGAAGGTTCTTGAGAAGAACCAATCTTGAATATTGATTATTTAACAGTTCCAAAGGCTTGGAACAGTGAAAAGGAATAATTTTGCCTTGGAGTTGAGTGGTTCTTTGGATCAAGGTTTAGAAAAAGCAATAAAAAGTTTGTGTCAGTGGAGTCTGACATAAGAGCTTCAAAATAAGAATATCTTTTCATCTCTAAATTACCTTCTTAAAGAAATTAGTATTGGAGTCTTGATGCTGGGTGACGAGAAGTTGAGGTGCTCCAAATCTTCATCAGATCCACATTAAAACTAGAGCAACATTACTTTAATTTCTTTCCTGCATTGACCTTTTTAAAAATTTTTTAAAAGATTTAGTAGGGAAAAAGATTTTGCTGGTAAAATGTTTAGAAACTTAATTTTTTACCCTTAGGTGTTACTTCTAAACAGCTTTGTTTATTTTCTCATGCAGATTATCATTGCTGATTGTTATTTACATACGGGTTCATCCATTTAACACACGTTTATTGAGTATGCCCTGTGTGGCAGGCACTGGGTGGAACTGGGAATGAGTGGGACCAAGGCAGACAGACAGCCATGTTGCCAGTCCCTACCCTAGTGTACTATACAGTTTTAGACCTTAGAGTCTGGCAGAATCTTTTCTACCCTTTAGCTGGTCCTGGGTTATCTCCTTATGTCTGTTTTCCAATCTCAAAATTATTACGCTAGTGACCTTTAAAGTTTTTAAGTTTTGTATTTTTAAAATAATTTCAGACTTGAAAAAATGAATGGTACAAGAATAGACTTGAAAAAATGAATGGTACAAGAATAGTATCTTTCATCTTGTTCCCCCAAATGTTAATATTTTACAAATTTTTCCTTATGATTTTCTTTTTATTATATACATCTTTTTTTCTGAACTATTTGAAAGTTGCAGACATGATCTTCTGAAAACTCAGTGTGTATTTTATGAAACTCAGGGCAGTTTCCTGAAGTATCCAAAGGGCGTTGCTCTATCTGTAAATCTTATACATTTATTATATCTGTATTTATTAAATACTTATTTAGTCTATAAATATAAGCTTTAATAATTGACCAAATAATATAGCAAAAGAAAGAAACATTGTCTCTAGTCCCGGATCAAATTCAGGATAATGAGTTGCTTTTAGTTCTGACTTTCTTTAATTTGGAAATGTGTCTTTCTTTTATAACACTGACTTTTTAAAAGAGTGTAGCCCAGTTATGTTGTAGAATGTCTCCCCATTTAGGTTTGTCTAATATTTCATCTTAGTAGAATCAGGTCATGCATTTTTTCAGGGCTACAGTTAGAGGTGTTGTGTCCTTAGGCTGTTGTATCTGGAGACACATGATGTTGGTTTGTCCCATTACTAGTGATATTAACTGATTACCTGCCAGTTTTTATTTATTTATTTTTCCACTGTAACAGTACTATTTTTTTCCTTTGCAGTTAGTAAGTATATTGTCAGGAAATACTTGAGGCTATGTAAATATTTTGTTTGTCATCAGACTTTTCTTAACTACTTTGGCATCCCTGTGAGGAGTTTTCATTGAATCAATGTTATTAATATGGTGGTTGCGAAGTGGTGATTTCTCCTTTAACTAGTTGACATTTTAACATGTACATACACACAGATTCTTATTTTTACTTAGTGCTAACAGATTACTGTTGTTTATTTTGATTCTCGGATTGTCCTACATCTGGTCTCTTCAGGCCAACTCCTGTGTTCTTAAGCCATATTTCCATCATTCTTTGAGCATTTTTTTAGTATCTGGCA